TTGGGTGAACTAACCCTTTAACCCCTACCATCTCACCTCCTCCTCTTTGCTCTTGATGTAATCCAAAGAAAATTTTTTGTGCTTTCCTGAGAGGGCTGCATGCGCAGACACCGTCTGTCCTCAGTCTTCCACGTACTCGTGCTCACCTCATTATTTGTGTGTGTTATGAGTTTAGTCATGCAGATTTAGGACCCAGGCGCTTTCATATGTATGCAGTGTTTGTTGTCATTAGACTCGTGCTTCCCCAAACAGGTTTGCATTGGCATTCCGCTGCAATTCAATCGGTGTGTTTTGCTTGCGCAGGGGAAACAGTGCCTTGGCCTCTATAGCCAGTACACACAAGGTGTATCCTCTGTCATGTGCGCTGAACACGTCTATGTGTTTTAACAAAACAGAAGCTCAGCACAGCTGCAGAATGACCTTATGTAATAATATGTCTTTGAAATTTGTGGTGTCTTTAAAAATGAATATTCTGTATTATTGAAACCTTCATGTTGTGTCAAACCCATATGACTGACTTTCTTCTGTTGAACACATAAAAGTTTTTTTTGAAGAATATCCATTTCCATGTAATATGATAAATATAATATGAAAAAAAATAATTAAAAGTGATTGATATGACTTGTACACTATAATTGAAGTCTTCTGCAGGTACGCAATGACAGACTAAATTTAATGAGTTATTCACTGAAAAATTATGTATAGTAATGATGTTCTTTTGAGTCTTCTCAATGAATCAGATTATCCATTTCACAAATCTAGTCTGAATGATTTGTTTAAGAATTGAACTGATCCGGTTCTCAACTCTCTTACTTTAGTTTTGATCTTTTTCTCACACAAATTAAACATATTAGTTCAGAAGACTTGAAATATACAACACAAATAATATGCTTTTATTTTGCTTTATGTTCTTATAGCACTGGGGAGACCGAGATGCCATTCTTTTCAATTCTGAGGGAAAGAGTGACCAGGACATTCACCTAAAAATGCACCTTTCATGTTCCCATAAATCATACAGATTTGGCACAAAATTGAGCAAAGGATAACAGTGTTTTATTTTTGGGGGTGAACTATCACTGGAATAAGTTATGCCTTTGGCAGCTGTAGACTGTGTGAATTTTTATATATATTTTTTCCCCAAACCAGTTAAGTGCAAATGCTGTCCCAAAGCCCATTTTAAAGATTTTATTGGCCATATTTGTCACGTGTATGCTTTTAAGTCCTAGTCAGAGAAGAGTTTGGTGTAATTGATTGTGGTTGTACTTATCACTAGCCCTACTATCACTAGTGTTTCAGCACTAAAGCTTTGTAAAAACTGAAAATTCTCCTCAGTTGAGCAGTGTGGTGGTGTATCAGCTGCGTTGCACAGAGAACAAGTGAGAGGTTGTCTGAGTAGGCCGCACAGACAGGAAGACACGCAATCCCAGACCTCCTCCTCCTCTTCCTCCTGATGCAGTCTGGTTCTCTCTGTACCTCTGCGGCTGCACATCGTTAAGCATCACACATGAATCGATTCCCTACTCTGAGTGGGAGGAATTCAAGCATAGTTTACATCTGAGGCACTGTGATGTCTCAGAGGCATTTATGCAAATGTTCAAACGCGAACATCCTATTGGACTGCAGTCTATGATTTGAGCATTGCTCACGGTTACTTCATGCAAAGGCCCTGACTGAGAACTGACGCGCAGCGTGTCATAAAAACATCACTGACTCAGAAAAAAGCAGTTATCCTGTTTGCTATCCTACTGGCGCCGTGCGAATATTCTTCACAGGGTGAACAAATGTCAAGTCGACACACAACGTGTCACTTTTTCACCCGAGCGACCAACGTGCTAGTGAAATCGCAAGCGCATCACGTTCCAGCCGCAAGCGTGGAGGTGGATGGGGAAAGCAGCTGAAGCAATCAATGATGGAGAAGCAGGGAGACGAATGAGAGAGGTTAGCAGTGGAATGCGAGACATGGGATGAATAATTTGTGTGCATGTGTGTGCGAGCTGGGAGGGGGTTGCCTGTGCTGATTATACCTCTGTGATGCTGATAGGCTGTTTGACGAGAGCGGTCCGCCTGCCTTCATTATCTCCCACAGCAGGGAGAACTGTGATTGGAGCAGAGAGCCATGCTGAGACGGAGAGAAGGGCTGCTGTGCGATAGACGCTCTCTGAAATCTCCAGCCTCTGACTTTACACTGACCTTAACCACCTCAGTAGCTAAGACACTGTAGCTCTGCTCACAAACCTTGTGGGCTGCCTACTTAGACAGCAGTTTAAAGCATTACAGGTGATCTCCAAGTGTGGAGGCTTTTCCAAATAGTGCACAAGGTAATCGCGCTTCTACCTTTTGTTGGCCAAATACATGGGCAGTACATAACGTTCAAAGTTTGTGCTTGGTAAGATTTTGTTAAAATGTTTTTGAAAGAAGCCTCTTAAGCTCATTAAGGCTGCATTTATTTGATCAAATATAGTCAAAACAGTTATTGTGAAATGTTGTTATAATTTAAAATAACTAGTGTCTAGTTTGTTTATGCACACTCCCGTTATAATCCGTGAAGCTGTTGTAGCTAATCAGCTCATGGGAAATATGAATAATTAACCATGACTAGTTATAATTAACTATTCATATTTTAGATCCACTGTAGATATTTAGCTGACCACTCAGGGTCAACTGTCTTGTCAATTCTAAGAATGTTAATTTCCTGGTTAAAGGAAATAACTTTCTTACTGTACAATTCTATAAGTTTGTAACGTAAATCTGCATGATTATTGACTCCGGTTATGAGTAAACAATGAACACGTCAAGTGTGATACAAGTAAGGTTTTATTAACTACATAAACACTTAAACTAGTCTAACATACTACATAAACACATTAAGCCGGTCTAACATACACATACACACACACACACATACAGTTGGTATAGGAAAGGGTTAAAGTTTAGCACTAAAGAAAGAGACATATGGAATGACATTTATGGAACCATTTTGCATATTCAGCAGATCTAAAACCTGAGGGAAAACGTCAGATTCTTAGTTCAAACAAACCTTGTAAAAAGGTGTAACTGATACTTAATGCATCAATTAAATCGACTAAGTTTGATACTTGCGTATGTCTGAAAAAGATTCCTGATGCAATCTTAAGGTCCCAAGATCTTGCTGAAGTTGGTTGATGAGAAAGAGCTAGTTTGAGTCAGAGTCACTTGATGAATGAAAAGGACTAGGCCGGAGCCTGGCACGAGCTTTGGTATCCTGGAGCGTTTCTCACATCTTCATCTTAGCATCTCACTGAACCACCGACTGGGCGGGTCACATGGAGTGTGGTCTTTTAAAGCCTGCAGAGATTCACGCCTCTCAAGATGGGTTCGTCCAATGAGGAAGGCTGAACTCCCAAGCGGGAGGTTGGAAATACTGAGGATTTTGTCTGTAAGCATGGTATTTTGCATATGTAATTCACTTGAGTGTTGCTGCAGAAATTAGTAATGATTCTTAGAACATCCATATGTTGCAGAGGTATCAGCATGTAATATGCACTCTCAGTTAGATCATCCGAAGACGAATTCATAGATACTAGACATGGTAGAGTTACTTATATGAATGAGTGGTTTATCGTAAGCATGAATAAAAATAGTCTATAATACAACAGATTAAATACAACACAGCAATAATATACACAATGGCCTGAAGAAAATGGGTGTTCATTCAAAGAAGGTTTTCCTATGAATTAATTAGTAGAACAGTCCATTTCTCCTGTGCATTTGTACCCCTTGTTTCTGGAGAAAGCAGAATGAGAGCCGGCTCGCATTCCCCAAGGTTGTAAATGTATCGGGTTACCATGAAACCAGGGTCTTGTTCGGCGTCCTGGGGTGTTACAAAGTATTTGTGAAATCTAGCTAACAAAATATATATTGTGTGTTGGAGTGTTCCAGACGCTACACAACTTATTCTACTAACCCTAAACATACCCAAGCAGTCTACTCTACTAGTCTACTGAGAGTTAGTAGACATGTAGTTGACATGTAATTACAAAGTTACTTATAGTTAGTAGAATGTCTAAAGTGGACTATCGAAATAAAGTGTAACCAAAACAATTTTTGTCTTCGTAATCTTTAATCAAAATTTGAACATTTGCTTCCTCTGGAATGGCATTCCTTTTCTGATGACGTCAGTTTGACGGCTTGGGCAGAATATGCTTAAACACACCCCTCCAACCGTTAGATTGCTATGAGTGAGAGACAGAGGAGGAGCGCAAACATAAAACCATGCCCTCTATTCAATATTCCGTTTCAGCTGGAAATACGTCACTAGACTGAAATAAAGTCAGCTGTAACTTCCGGTTCACGCGGACTTTAAGGTGTAAATGTAAACATACACCATGATGGCATTGTCCATCGACTTAGCGTTATTGTTTTCTTTATTTACAAATAATGAAATAAATAAGAGAAATATACTTTTAAAATTACTTTTATGCTTATGTCATAATAATATCCTATCAATAATAATAGGATTATAATATTCATAATAATGTCCTATTATGCTTTTTCACTTTTTCAACTTTAGCTAGTCTGTAATGTTGCTGTTTGAGCATAAAAAAGATCTGCAAAGTTACAAAGCTCAAAGTCCACTTCAAAAGGAGATATTTTATTTAATAGAAATCACTTTTTAAAAACTACAATGAATGACTAAACCAGACTGGGGAGAGAGGTGAAAAATAATGTGTTTTTCGAACAACCTGAGAGCCTGTTCTAGTACACCCCCAAAACAAAATCAAGACTTTGTAAAAGAGCATACTAGGACCCCTTTAATGACAAACTACGACGCAAAATGTAAACAACGCGATCATGGAAAAGCATTTGGTGAACATAAAAGGCAATGGCAATGTCTTCAAACTCTTTTCTTTGGCGTCGGCAATGTGTCTCGCTGCTCGAACTGATGCGGCAGTTGCTATGGTTTCCAACGCCTACTTTGTGAGCTGAACGTCAGCACAATGTGCACACGTGACACACAATACCGTAGACGTACTACGCAGAACATGAGCTGAAGAGGCGTTCGCCGTACCTTTGTCCAAGCTATCCAAACGCGAAAATCCCATAAAGTGAGTAATCCTCGCTCTTATGTTATACAGTTTGAAAGAGAAAAAATAACGCAACAGGATCGCAATTAGAATTTACAGCATGTGGTGTGAAATGAGAGAAATAAACGTTCATAGGTAGCATGAAGCTACTGCTGCTGTAGCTCGCTGGCTAACTGATGTGAAGTTCCACTCTCCATCATTCAGCTTTATAAACACATACTCTCACATTCATTCAAAGAAATAAACGCAGTTTTACACGTTTTCCACCTCATGTTACATTATGTAGCACAGTGCGTCTTCGTCTTTCCAGGAAAGCTTGTAGCTTCTGTAAATTAGCCAGCTTAATAAAATAAACTGACACTCATAATTTGTGTTACGCATGTCAGTTTTTGTGTTTATATTTGTATTTATGCAGTGCAGCTCTATGACAGTTAAATAAATACATACGCTTTTGTTGCAAAAATGGCTAATTTTCAACTCATTCTGCACTGTAGAGGATACTTGCAGATGTGAATACAATTTACAATCATTTAGTTATTTTTAATTGTTTTAGATGATTGTATTGTGCATTTATAGGTGTTATTTTGTGTTAAATTTCTTTCTAAAAGAAATCTCATTGGGAAGTGTTATAACTTATTTCTTTATCTAGTGGATCGGGGGTCGAAGCGGCGGCAGGTGAAGCCTTTGGCTGACTCTTTGCTGGATGCTCTGGATTATGACAGCTCAGATGACAGTGATTTTGAAGTTGGAGATGCGTCAGGTAAACAAAAACCAAAAAAATCTCAAAACCCATTCTTGTCACGTTGATGTAAGTGTTTGTTATACTGAAAATGTCAAAAAATGGTACTGTGGATCAAGTGGATCTGTAAAGTAATGACAAGTAGTGATGGCAAGTCTCATACAGTTGAAATATTCAAAACATGACTGATGGTTACATTTATATTTATAGTGCAGATGGCCATTTTAGACTTGGCCCCTGCATGGGTTTTCTCTCCTGTCATGAAAACAGCTGCTGAGGTGGAGATGAGACCTTCATCACCACCGTTTTTCCCCTGCCTGTTGATTAGACCTCCTGCATTGCACTACTAACACTGAAGTCACATAGGCAATGGCTCCATATCACCATGACAGACTGTAGGTTAACGCAAAAAGCTATGCCATCAAGCTGCTGTCAACAGAAGTGCAGACATATCTGCAACCTGATAATGAAATCCTAACACTTTGACACCTTTGGGTCTTGAAGTTTTGCTGCATGTAGGAATTTCTGGTAAGAAATAGCATGCAGTGTCAAATTATTCTGATCTGACAATATTTCGTTGTCATAGGTTGTATAAGATTATACAGATGTATTAATTACCAACCACACATTCATAGTTCATGTCGGTGTTAAATGCATGGCGTTTCACATTTCATGAAGCCTTCTGCTGATGTTACATGAGTTTTCATGTTTATTCACTTATATTTAAGTTTTCAAGATTAATTTGCAATTCAACATGCAGCAAAGTTATATGAGCAATAAATATGAACTGAATGTAAATATGAAGTTTAGATTTTTACTGTAAATATAATATTTATTTTAACAATTATATTTATATTTTTAGGGAGGCAAGTAAACGGTTTAATAAGTATATATATATATATATATTTAAATATAACATTAAAGTGTTTAATTTCCTAAAAAAATATTTACAACAAATAATATTTTTAATGAGCAAAATGTAAAGCTGTGACCGATTTTTGAATTTTTAAAAAATATATATATATTCTGTATCCATTTTAACTGTTACTTCAATGACTATTACACGTTTCTCTTCCATTTTCAATCTTTATCAGCCAGCTAAAAATACATAATCTTGCTTATGATGTACTAAACAAATAAAGGTAATTTTAATGTAAGAATATGTTAAAAACTTTTGGGTTTTGGAAATATAAATGTTTTTCTTTTTATCTTTTATTTTAAATTTTTTTTTAAATAGCATTCATTTTAAACCATTTATAAATTGTTGAGCCATTGTACATGAAACACTTGAACTGAAGCTTGCTGTCAGAAATTATTTTTTTTCCATCTCATCTGAAGTATGTTATATTCTGCCCAAAAAACAAAACAAAACAATAGGACGCTGCTAAAATAATCTCACATACTTGCGTATCAGGTTCAGAGGGCACTGGCAACGGAAGTGATGAGGAGGGTTCAAAGGACAGCGTTGGGGGCTCTGAGAGTGACTTTGACGGTGTTGGCTCAGCCAATGAAGAGGGCATAGATGATGAAGAGGCCAAAGAATTGAATGAAGACACTGAAGAAGAGGAGAAAGCCAAGGACCAGTCTTTTTCCGAGGAGACCAGCAGCAAAGAAGCAGGTGGAACCTCCAAGAATCGCAAAAAAGGAGAAAAATCCTCAGATACAGAACCAAATGGTACTGGCACCGCAGAGGAAGGCTCAGCAGAGCCAAAAAAATGGAACCTACGGCGGAACCGGCCCATGCTGGACTTCACTACAATGGAAGAGCTAAACGAAATGGATGATTATGACAGTGAGGATGACAATGACTGGAGGCCCACACAAGGAAAAAAGAAAGGCAAGGCATCATCTGGGAAGGAGAAAGAAGGGAGTCAGGAAGAGGAGGACGGGGGTAGTGATGAAGAGGACAATGAGGATGATGAGAACGAGACCAGTAGTAGTGATAGTGAGGAAGAAGGGAAGAAATCAAAGAGGAAAGCAGGCAAGAGCACGGGAGCGTTTGATGAGGAGGAGACCAATGACAGCCACAGCACATCCCATGGGAAGGGCAATGAGGTACATTCTCCTCTCACATTGCACTACTGTTTAAATGTTTGGGAGCAATAAGAAATGTTTTTGAAAGGAATTCATACTTTTATTCAGCAAAGATGCATTAAATTGATAAAGTGACAGTAAAGACATTTATAATGTTACAAAAGTTTTCGGTTTCAAATAAATGCTGTTCTTTTGAACTTTTCTTTTGATCAAAGTATCCAGAAAAAAAAATGCATGACTGTTTTCACAAAACAATCAAGCAGCACAACTGTTTTTAACACTGATAACAATAAGATATGTTTCTTGAGCACCAAATCAGCATATTAGGATGATATCAGAAGGATCGTGTGACACTGAAGACTGGAGTAATGGCTTTGCTATCACAGGAATAGTATAATTATTTTTTTAAATATATAAAAATAGAAAACATAAAAATGTTCAATTGCAATAATTTTCCATAATATTACTATTTTTGATCAAGTAAATGGAGCCTTAGTGAGCATAAGAGACTTCTTTTAAAATCAGTGAAGAATCTTACCAACCCTAAACGTTTGAAATTAAAATTAACTTTACTCATGCATTCTCAAAACATAAATTCTATATTCTTCAGATTGCTCAATTGAATTACTTTCTACATACTATATGGACTTTATCTTTTGTATTTATTAAATATATTTTGCTGCAGTCTTCCAAGTATTTTCTCATTCATGTTTGTTCAAACATATACTCATACTGTAATTGTCGTAACTTGTACTTCATGTTTATTGTTAAGATTTGAATACATTCCACCCTTCAACTAATGCAAACAACTTCACAAAGTACAATTCAGATTTGATTTATTAATAAACTAGCCGTCTGTCTCCATCATTTACTGAAAACTGGTATGTGTGTGCCCTATTGTTCACATTGACTGCAGACAAAATCAAATAGCTGATCTATCCACTTGTTTAAATTTGTCCAAAAGTTCAGTTGTATGGAATCAACTTGAATTCTCAAATGCAAGTGTATTATTGCGCATTTAGGAATACACAAACAATCAGATAATCCAGTCATTGGCTCACATTCCATCAGATTGTTGATACAAAAGAGCAATTCTTGTGAATGGGCTTATCTGAGAACTTCAGTTTATAGGATTGGTTAATCTTCCAATCTCAGAGTTGGAATTAGAACAGAAGCTTTTGAGTGGCTTTACTTTTTTGTCTCAAGTTTTTTCCACACTGGTCCGTTTCAGTTTTTTTCAGAGGAAGATATTTGGACTGTGGTAGAGGACACTAGACTTATCAGTTGTAGCATCCCTAACTGAAGTTGGATTGCTAAGTTATCCATTGCTTCCTCAGGACTCTCTGTTGGAACGGCCCCAGACCTGGAGCTCCCAGCGGATGGAGCATATCCTTATCTGTTGTGTGTGTCTGGGAGACAACAGCGAAGATGCGGATGAGATCATCCAGTGTGACAACTGTGGCGTGACCGTGCATGAAGGTAAAATCCTAAACTCTGGAGCCTGCCACCAGAAGACTCAGCTCAAATATTGATCTCAAATGTTTGCACAAAGTTTTGAAAAATGAGTTTTAAAATATATTTCAATATTCAGTTCCTCCTTTCCCAGTGCAAATCTCTAACTTGGACAAAAAACGCTTAAAGGTGCACTCACATTTTGCACATTTTGGTTGTGAAATGTGTAGCAATTTTCAGAAATATGATGTGTACACGCATGATAAGAATACCCCAATCAGTCTTCTAGAAAAAGCTCACGTCATGCAATTCATGCACATCATGCAACCGAGTTACTAATAATAATCAGAATTATTAGTTATTAGTCAACCACTGGCTCTGCACCAATATACCTAAACTCGTTAGTTCAGACTTATGTGCCCTCCAGAAACTTGCGTTCTGCTTGTGGTGCCATCCCAAAGAGGCACAAAATCACTCTCACTGACCTTTTCCTGCACTGTTTCCAGCTGGTGGAATGAGCTGCCTATCTCATTTCAAGCAGCTGAGTCTTTAGCCATTTTCCAAAAATGTCTAAATATACATATTTTTCGTCAGCACCTGACCAATTAACACGTGGTGTTCATATTTTTGTTATTCAGCCAGTGTTCGTGGGTCTGGTGGACCCACTGCATTTTTGGGTTTTCAATTCAACACAATCAAAAACTTTGTTAAAATACTCAACAGATGTTTACTTCATCCCAATAGCAAGCAATATAAACAACATATTTGGTTAATATTTGCCCTTTACTTTTGTTAGATCACATTTATTATTTAAAGTGCTACAACCTTGTGCAGGAACGGCAGGGGCAGAAACACTAAACTCACACTTACACTCTCACAGACTCTCTCTCTGACACACACTCACACATACTAATAGCAGACCCCGACAGGAGGAGGACAGACTGAAGGTACACAGGACCTACAAATTCCACACTTTTATTAGCCCCGGGTCTTGTCACAGCACTTGTCTCCACCTTTTTCCTGACGAGCCTACTGCATTTGAATTATGGGTGGCACATTCCGTCAAGCAAAATGACGGAAATCACTTGGAAATAGTATCATGCTGAAGTTAATGAACATTTTTGATTAAGGCAATGTATGTTGCATAATACAGATATATATTACAGTTATATTTCACCCGTCTGTTATTGCTGTGGAAAGAATCACAGTTTTGGGGTTATTCATGGTCTTGAAAGTACCTGTTCATGCTTTTACACATTTACATGTCATTTTAATGTTCAATGGTTGAAGGGGGAGTAGAATAATGTCATCTCATTATACCCAGTTTAAAAAAAACAAACATATTATTGTGTTCATAGAGCGGGCCTTTCACTGATTGTTTACAGCTTAACGGAAGTTACACCCATACCTGCGCAAAGCATCATGGGGCGTGGGAAAAAGGTGAATACCTTTGCTCTCTTGTTGATCTGATTCTGCTTCTGTTGTTCTCCTCATTTGTAAGTCACTTTAGATACAAGCGTCTGCTAAATGATTAAATGAATGATGTAGCTATGTTTACATTAGAAGGTCTGAAACCACTGGTGCTATTAGGATGAATAAGAAAACCTACATTTTAGGTAGTTATTTTTCAGTTAGAAAAGAATAAACGCATTCTGAAACAATTCTGTTCCTCTCAAGTTGGTTGTGAAGCTCGTCTCATTGTACGCCATACACTTGCTATGCGCTTGTACACTAGATTGCATTGTCAAGCAAGCGTGAGGAGAATAAACACAGAACGGAGAGTGATCTTCATCATCCCACATTATTAGCTCATTGTGACTGACTCGTTGGAAACAAAAATCAATTACGCTTTAAACCGTCTTGTAGCGGCGGCCATCTCATTCAGACAGGCCCGCTTAACACCAGCCGGGCAGGCTGGATCAATATGTCACCACTAATTTTCAATTACTCACTGATTTATTTCTTTAATTCTTTATTTACTGCTTGTTTTTGTGCTGATGTTCTGTTCATTTGCAGAAGCCTCACAGGTAGTTCTGCACAGAGGAAAAAAAACTAGTAGAAGCCTGCTCTGCTTGAATGCATTGAGATTTTATGAGATTCAGTTTTGTGCACATATTTTATCTAAGAACTAATTAAAAACATTTGGCAGGTCATATCATCTCGAAATGTTCAAATAATGTAAAAAAAAATTACTTCATCTCATGAGTATACATATTATAGTTGCAATGAAATGACATATTGTGACATATAACAGAGGGTTACAGATTTTGTGAGGAAAAAAGAGAAGTATGGGGGGCTTGGTTCTGTCAGTTTGTTATTGATTGGATGAAGGCAGATTTAAATGTGAGCTTGTAATTGATTTTAAGAAAGGGGCATGGCAAACCGGCTGAGGAGAGTCAGTGGTCCGCTGCGTGAGGAAAGTGTGTATACGGATGCACCGCCGGCCTATCTGTGGTAAACTCAGTAGCTGCTGGCAATTGTATAGTGAATTCCTGCGCCAAGTCAGTAGCCCTTTTTTTGGACCTTCCGGCCCGCGATATCAGATGAACTGAAAAATATCACAGATCGGTTGACGAAGAGTGAAACTCTGAAGCGCTCAGTCAGAGAGTGTTTGGCGAGTGAAAATATACGTACTGTATATGTGCTAAACTTATTCTTAGCCTCCAACTCTCACACTGGCGAGTAAAATCTGATCATTTATTAGCCATTGGCTAATATTAGACATAATTTAGTCGCCCAGAGTGAAGATTGAGTCGCTTATGCGAGTGATTTACTCGCAATGTAGAGGGTTGAGTGTGCATCACCAGAGAAAAGTCTGATGTTTAACAGGAAGATGGAGTTTGACATTTTGATGAAATATATACGTACTGTATATGTGCTAAACTTATTCTTAGCCTCCAACTCTCACACTGGCGAGTAAAATCTGATCATTTATTAGCCATTGGCTAATATTAGACATAATTTAGTCGCCCAGAGTGAAGATTGAGTCGCTTATGCGAGTGATTTACTCGCAATGTAGAGGGTTGAGTGTGCATCACCAGAGAAAAGTCTGATGTTTAACAGGAAGATGGAGTTTGACATTTTGATGATAAATTACAAGATCGGCATAATTAAAAAAATAAATAATAATATATATATATATATACCTTTTGAAAATAGATATTTGATATTCATTTGGATGTTTAGTTTTATGTGGTGTGGCATAGTGCCAAAGGATGAGGATTGTTCAGAGTAAATGAAAAGGTTGCTGGTTCAAGCCCCCTGAGGAACAACAGTCACTGTTGTGCCCTTGAGCAACAAGCTTAATCTCCGGAGGGATTGCCTTTGTAACAAATCGTTGGATTAAAGCATCTGTTAAATGACTACTTACTTGCCCTCTTGCTTATCAGATTTCATCTGGTGAGGACACAATAGTTAATTACATCTTCAGAGCATGTGCCTGTTTGTCCTTTCAGATCAGCACATATCACTAAATGGTTTAAGTGGTGGCAAACAAAGAATATATGCACTCAGTTTACTAAAACATGCATTAGGTTCCCCTATATGTATTGTAATAGTAATGTACTTTATGCTACAGCATATGTTCCACCCCCTAGCTGATTCTTAATGAATGTCTCAGTGGATTTTTGAAAACTGCAATGGATCTCAGAAGGGTGAATCTGATGAAGAAATTCCTGGGAAAAATGTCATCTCAAATTCAAAGGGAAAATTAAGAGATTATATTTTGTACAAAGAGAATCATTTTGATGCCCATTAAGATTCAGCACAAAATTGTCATTGCTATTGTGGAAAGAAAGATTGTATCAATGTAATGAAAATCATCTTGGTTTCATTCATTCAATGCTTTTTTTATGCAAAATGTTTAACAGTTTGGAGTTGGTATTTTTAAAATATTTTTGAAAGTGACGTGTTGTGTTTTTGAAATGTCTCTTAGGCTCACCAGGGCTTTATTTGATCAAAAATACAATAAGAAATAGTAATATTGTATGATATTATTGTCATGTGAAGTATTTTAATAATATTTTATTGTTAATTTATTTTAATAAATATTAAGTTAAATCTTTTATATTTTAATATATTTTAAAATAGAATTTATTCCTGTAATGGCAAAACTGAATTTTCAGCAACCAAACAGCCATTAATTCAGTCTTCAGTGTCACATGATCCTTCAGAAATCATTCTAATATGCTAATTTGCTTGAGAAACATTTCTTGTCATTATAAATGTTGAAAGCAGCTGCTAATGATTTGTTGATGAATAGAAAGGTAAAACAAATAGTGTTTATTTGAAATAATAATAATAATAAAAACCTTTTGAAATGTTATATATGTCTATGTACATATACAGTGCACAGCATAAATGAGTACACCCCCTCTGAAACTTAACAAATTCAGCAATTACTCTTTGCTTAGAAGACATGTTATGGTTTTTTAGAGATATAATATTCAAGCAAGTCTGGTTGATCAGTTACCAAAGCAGAATGTTAAAATTATTCAAGAAAATATAATTTTCTTATCAAAGTGATAAAATGTTGTGGTGCAAAAATGAGTACACCCTCCTGAAAGTTACTAAATAAAAAAAAAGGTTAAGGCAAGTATTGATCAACAGGTAAGTATGTTGAACCAAAACTGTTAAAGGTAAGTCATTTCTTGATAATTAAGTGTTATATGGCCCACTGAATCATACTCAGACTTAATGCTGACAACAGTGAAACCAGTTGAGAGAGAACTGTCAGGAGATTTATTTTTTTAGCATAAAAGAGGACAATGGTACAAGAGGAAATCCAAATTATTGATTTAAGTGTGAAAATATAGCCAGAGTAACACAGAAATTCAAAAGCAATGGACTTGTGAAAAGGCCCCTGAAATAATCAGGTCTTCACTTTAAGCTTTCATTTAGTGATGAGTGAGTTTTTGCTAGAAAAAGAGCAGGAGAAACACTGTGAAAGTGTCTCAGAGCCGGCAAAAGCTGTGAAAAGAGTGACATTTTATCTCACAGAGTAAGATGCAGCATGCAGAAGTGACATG